CAATGGACAAGAAAAAAAGGGCCCCGAAGGCAGAAGACAAAAAGAAAAGTAATGAAAGGACAGGACGGATGATAAAATTTTTTCATAGTGGAGATGGGAGCTCCGCCCGGTGCCCACATCATCCACTACTCCGTTGGTTTCCGTGATATTCGACTGGGTCCGCTGGCTCGTGCGAGATCTCGATCGTTGTCTCCTGGTACACTCCATGGCCCAGGTCGGCCATTTCCATGTCGCCACCCTTGCGCAGGTCTTCAGTGGAATCCCCGTCGTTTATCGTGTCATTGAGTGTCTGGAGACCTCGGCGTAACCGAGACCCCACACGCACCTTCTTGTTCTCTCTCGTGGTAGTTGTGATATGCGTTTGGTACGCGTTCGAATTGGAGTAGGCATATATCTTATCCGATGTGCTGATCTCCGTATCCAGCAGCAAGTGCCGCCGGGTCAACGCGTACACAGCAACGTCAACCAGCCCCGACAACGCCATTAAGGACCCAGCCACGGCGAAATAAGCTCTACTTTGAACAATGTGTCTGGCCGTCGACATACGGCCTGCTGCCAGTGGAAGGGATAAGACCAGGTATACGATCGGGTAAATAACCATGTAAATGACGACACGGTTGAGTCGTTTCAGACTTTCTTGGTGTCCTTGACGGAGCATCGCCGCCTGGTTCATACGACGTCGTAGGTGAAAGAATAACATGCCGTAGAAGACGACAGTTCCGAATTCGGCGAGAAAGATCCATAGATAATGGGCCCAGAGACGTTCCGTCTCGTGTTCCGGACCAAGCCAGCACTAAGAATTAAAACTGTAAGTATTCCCACTGCCCTTGCTTTGTCAGGAGTTCCAACTTACCCAGCCGGCCTCGGAGATGACGAAAGTTTTGGAACCAAATAACCCTACAGGGATCAATCCTAGCACGATAATGAAGGCCCATAGAGCTACAACGCAACACACAAAAGTCCGGTGTGGAAGTTGCCGCCCTCTCAGTACAACTGCACCGGTGTGCATCGCAATTGCCATGATAAATAACCCACTTCCAGGGTCACCCACCTGAATCCACCAACCTTGCAGAACGCAGACCGCACTTGGATAGTAGACATAGCCACGCGAGACCCAGTGGAGGCATAGCAAGAAGGCGGTTGCTTGTTGGATATCAACCAGAAGGAGATTGTAAATCAACACGACGTATTGGTTGGCGGCAAGAGGACGTTTATAGTAACGTTTCCAAAAGATGAAACGGTATGTGAGGAAACTTAGCAAACAGAGAGTTGAAATAAAAGAGCAAAGTGCGATCACCCCCATAGCAATAAAACCCGCTCTATCCCCGCCCACGAGAGGCTCCTGTGTAGCATTTTGCCGTTTCGTGAGGTGTGTTTGAGCATCCTCGCTATTAAGCAAGTGCAATATGCGAATGAGGGTGGTCATTGCTCATCTCTTGTAACGAAATGTTGGGGAACGTGTATCCGCGCCTGTAAGTCCTTGGGGGAGGATGAATGTATATAACCGCTTAGTATTGGGTTTGGAGACGGTTCCAGACCCATAATTCGGAATATTTTGTTGTCCCGGCTAAGCTACTCATTCAAAGCTTTTCTATCCCAAGCTTTGGCTAGAGAGGGCTTCGGCTCGGTAGATATATGGGGCACCTCATGGTTCCAGGGTTGGCCGTGTTTTGGTACGTACTTCGTACTGATGAACAACCCTTAAAAGCATAGTGTGGGTACTAGCCGGGTATAGTTTTGCTCGGAGTACTCCGTACACAGCCTGCTTTATGCTGATCCACAGTTGGGGTCAGTGGGCCCTTCCCAGTCAGCCAACTACGGTGTATGGTGCCTGGAAAGTGAGCAAACGCTTTCGTACATGATCGGCATTCCCAATGACTTGGATCAGGAAGATCACAGTATACGGAGTAGTGTAAAGCCTCTAAGGGGCAACTACTGTCGCAGAACGAACACTTGGTGGCCATATGGCAAAACCTGCAGTCAGAAATGACATCCTCGTGAATATGCGTTCACCCCTGTGGGTACGTTTCGCAAGGTCTGTTCGACATTGGCAACAACCCTACGCAGAGCCAGGTCCTGTCAAAAGTAGGTTGTCAGGAGAGCAGTCATACCCCAGAAAGTTTCAAAAATCGATACAATACATGATGGCTCGAGCGCTTCTGAAAGTGCAGTCAGAATGACAGAGCATATGCCACCTGTACCCAGTCTAATGGAGTGCGATCATGACTACTCCTAAATCAATGACGAACGCTGATTTGGGCCCGGTAGATGACTATATCCCTAGGAAAGAAAGAAGGGGCTAAGGAATCTTCATGGGGTCAAATAATTTCAAGAACCTGGGAGCCTGAGGCCAATCATTGTCACTTAATTCTAGTATGTCACGTTCAATCATGGGATGGGCATGTTGCTTCTTTTCCGGATACGGCTACTAAGCCTACTATATCCATGCTAAAGTTTACTTTTTGATGGGGGGGATATTTATTAGTTCTCCTGCAGGCATTCAGCCCTTCCTTCTTGCCGCAAGCATCACGTTTTTAAAGATAGGTGTCCAGAGTATCGTATCGCCCCAAAAGCAGTATAGAATGAGGTTGAGATTTAGTCTTATGAGTCTAAAAGGGATGTATTGTCGTTCATTGTGAGTTGCGCTCATTACTGAAAGATTTTCAGGGGATCAACCGCTTATAAAACTCTAGTCCCAAAAACCAAAATCGCACGACGGTGAGGGCGGAGATTCTTTCCAACCATACATCCAATACTATCTTCTTCTAACCGGTTGTTCGGACCATGGTTCTTTATATTAACTAAAAAACCTTGGTATCGACGGCTTGTATCGATCGGGTCCTTGAAAACAAACTGTGGGTGCCCTTTTTGGCATATCCTAAAGCAGGACCTGGGAAATGAGGATGCTTCCTTCGACAGGATAGCAATGATCAATACCGGGCGGAGGGAATTATATAGCTAGACTTCTCGAGCCTTGGGTTTGTCGGCCTTTCCCGCCCGTCCAACGGTAATCACAATAGAATTGCCGAATCCGGCCGTTTAGGAGCCCCGTCGACGAACATGTCTGATGCAACTCTTCATAGTAGGTCACGCTGCCATATAATCCCACCAAATCTGACGTGGTACCACAGCGTTGTCTAAACGCCTCATAACGACAGCTCATACGGATTGCCGTACTTCCAAGTTCCGAGGTAATTTATGCAAGGCCCTCAATGAATATTGAATGGTATGGTTGATTTCTCATTGCAGTTTTCAGGCATCCCAAGTCTGCATATTTGAGACACACAGATACGATTGAGGCAATGGAGATATAATTAGCTATGGAGGGATACCATATTCAATATATTGAAGTCATGCATTGCCATGGACTCGGTGCTAGTGCTATTTCCGGCAGTTTCCTTGGCACAAAAAAGGCTTCATGCCATCCAGGTGAATCAGATCTCACCGCTCGAAGCCTTTCGACCCCGCTACTAACGGTTTAGTAGTGAGCTCTTAACTTGATTGGAGATATTAAATCAATAATCCACACATAACAGGGCCCGACATGACATCACTGGCGGGGAGGAAGGCTGGTATCTCACCATGTGCAACTCCTCGGAGTTGTCGGGTATACTTCGTGCCCATAGATCCGACGATGCGAGACAGGAATGTTCAATTCCTTGGCTTGTTGCGTTGCATGACTCGACCGTATCACGCCGTCAATGGTACCTATGAATAGAAGTGGCCAACGGAGTGATCATCGGTGTCATCCCGGATCGGGACAAGCGGAGCCAAACCGGACGCCTGAAGCTATGGCCTAGTATCTGTATGTCTCAATTAGGGTCCAACCCGGCATCATCTGACTGGCCCGGAAAGCGGAAAATCCCCCAGTGAATGCACCCCCGCATTGATCTCCGCCCACCGCATGAATCAATTCCCATCAATCCATCAGCAGATGAGGAGACTGTCTCACTCTCCCGTGGGTATTCCCCCGCCGCATCTTCTCTGCCATTGCTCCGGTTTCAAACCTATGTCCAGGAAGGTTCTATCGGGATGTCTCCAGTGATGGTAACCGAACTATACCCGATAGCAATGTAGTATCTCGGAGACGGTGGCGAGGCAACCGCCTGTTAATGCTTCGATATACCCTGGAATTGGGTATATAAACCCCCTTGGAGTCCCTCTACGAGCATTTACAATCCCAAGCAACTCGACTACACTCTCCAAGACTCAGAAGCCTTAAGCCTCCCCACAACATTTCCTCCCAAGCCATCTTTAAACGATACTTTTTCAAAACATCCACCAGAACAATGAAGTCCTTCACTGCTATCTCTCTCCTCGCCCTCTTCTCTTCGGCTTTAGCCGCACCTGTTGAGCAGTCAACCGACGCTTCCACCACCGCTACTGTCTCCGTCTCCTACGACCAAAAATACGATGTCAGCGGCAGCTCTCTGACTACTGTTGCCTGCTCGGACGGTGTGTACGGCCTCATCTCCCAGGGCTACAGTACCTTCGGCTCCGTCCCGGGCTTCCCCAACATCGGTGGCGCTCCTACCATCCCCGGCTGGAACAGCCCCAACTGCGGGAAGTGCTACCAACTCCACTACGCGGCCGGCAACATCGACCAGTCCATCTACGTGACTGCCGTTGATGCGGCACCCGGTGGCTTCAACATCGGCTTGCAGGCCATGAACGCTCTGACGAACGGATTGGCCGAGCAGTTGGGCAGAGTCAATGTGGACTACACTGAAGTCCCCCGCTCGAACTGCGGCTTCCCTAAATAATGAGGTTGTTTTGACGGGTGGTCACGATGAATCATGAATTACATGATCCAAGTATCTAATTTTATCTTCTTATGTCTCTATTTCAGCATGTGATATAGCACTAATGCATTACGCGGGATAGCATAATTAAAGAACGTTGCATTTGATTCTGAAAGTAGAGATGGTATCTTTTCGTGATCTATTGTAGTAGTTCTATATGAATAGTGTTAGAAGTCTATCATAGTGTACACGCATCCTTTACTGTGCAACTTCCAGCATTTCTTCCACTCTGCCGAATTTAGAACGGGGTTTACCGATCTGCTGGCCCCGCTCGCGTTCGGCAGCATCAATACGCTGCCAATCCTGCCAGGTTGTTGCCCGCAAGCCACGCTTCTCGGCCTCGGGACGTACTCCCTCCCAGCCAAGACCGGTGCTGTGACCGGGGCCATTCAAAAGAGACCCCTTGCCTCGGTGGCTGCTCAAATCAGCCGCCACCACATCTGCCGTCGTAAATGCATCCGTCATGGTTGTTGCAATAACGCCGGTGGGTCCACGCTTGACCCAGCCAGCGCAGTAGAGACCCGGTAGGTGTGAGATAACTGACCCATCAGGGAGTTGTTCGTTAGCCCCCGTATTCGTGGGGCGAGTGACTCTGCCGAATCCGTCGTTGGGGATGACACCTCGCTTCGTGTCGAACTGAATCCCCAGGTCTTCCAGTCCAGGCAAAGGTAGTGATTTGTATCCAACACTTCGGAAGAATGTATTAGCAGGAATGTTGACCTGCGCTCGCTTGCCGCTGGAAAGATGCTTGGGCGACACCTTGGCGCTAGGAATATATGGATTGGTCGGGTCTAACTCATTGCGGGAGAATTTGACGTGTGACAGGCGATATGGATGGATTGGGGACCAGTTGAGGCACTCTGGCGAGAGAAGGAAATCTAGAGACCAGGATTTGGTCGATGTTGCGGGATCGTTACTGGATCCCTTTGCGAGTAGTTGGATGAGTCGCTTCTGGGCTCTAGGGAGAGCATTCATGACGTCGTCTGGTGGGAATAATTCCTTACGAACTGGATCGAACGACACACCCGGTAGCTGGAGCAACTCACGAAGCTCCTTGATTGTGAATGCAGCCTACACATTGTTAGTATAAATCTGCTACGCTACATAGTGTATCCGGTTTCCGCCAACATACCTGCATCGGCCCTCGACGCCCAACTACGTGAACTCGCTTGATCTTGCTCTTGGCCAATGCTCGGTAGCATAGTCCGTTATGTCAGTCTTGCGCAGGGCATCCACATCTGACAGTAGGATTCTTGCTACATCTAGCGCAACGTTGCCCTGGCCGATAATCACTGCGTCTTCACCGGCTGTCAGGTCAGGTGCTAGGTCGCGGTGCTCGGGAAGACCGTTGTACCATCCGACAAATTCGCGAGCTGAGTATACATTTCGACAGGCGTTCTCTCCGGGAATACCCAATTCCTTATCCTTTGGAGCTCCGTATGAAAATAAGATAGCATCATAATGAGGCTTCAGCGCCTGTAGAGGGAGATTCTCGCCGAGTTCAATATTGCCAATGAAGTTGAACCGGGGAGATGAGGCAACTTCAGTAAATTTCTCCTCACAATTCTAGGGACCAGTCAGATTGATCCACCTGTAACATGGGGAGATGGGTGGGGCACAATAATCGTGAACAATTAGTTACAACGTACCTTGACTTCCGGATGGTCTGGCGCTACCCCATACCGCACCAGCCGAAGGGCACGGGCAACTTTTCGTACATATCTACCACAGCATCGTCCACTTTTGCCAGCAGTCTATAGGCTGCATAGAAACCAGCCGGACCCGACCCCACAACAGCAACGCGAAATGGCTGATTAGTCTGCACAGACTGACTGTTATGACGTCGTTGCCATACTGACTGCGGCAAAAGACAATGCGGCGAGCGACGAAGTGGAGAGCGGCTGATCTGCACCGTGCATTGCGAGCAGATGTAAGGCACACGCTGGAGGTTCATTGTGCCTGAGACGGATGCGCAGTGGAGTTCGCAATTAATTGATCGATCTGATTGACTTTCCCCGAGATCGATAAACGGCCATGACGGCAGTGCACGTGATCCTTATCGGGCCGGTTGCCGCGCCGACTATCGCGATGTTGACGATCCGGAGTAGATAGAGAAGGGCTTTTGCACGGGTCAGCTCGCACGAGCTTCTCGGACACTTTCCTCCTCTGACATTCCATCGTTCCATGGTTCCGTCTCTTGTTTCCTACATGCTTCATCTTCCCCAGCATTCTTTTTGTTAAGGTTATTGCGTCTACCACGCGCTCATCTCCCCGCTCTCTCGCGTGGGTGGATGTATTAATAAACACAAAGTCAAAGATTCTTCCATCGCCGCAATGGGAGAGTCGCCTCCATTCCTTTACAACCCTTCAGCGTACAGCTTTAGTGGACCGACAGACCGCCCTTTCAACCCAAAGGCTGTGACACAGGCGAGCTGGACTCGTCCACCGTCAAAGCCCAAGCCAAAGGGGCCACTGGTGAATTTTAATCGGCATCCGGACTCTGTAAGCATTCACGATATTCATATGTAAGGTCTGCATACTGACGATATGGGTACCCTGAAGTACTGTAACATTCCTGATGGCAGGTCCAAATGGACTCCAATGAATCCAAACACTAAGAATAGGGTGATCTGCGGGCGGAAGGTACAGCTTGGGCTGCGCATTTTACAGCTGACTGGAGCTCTTGGGTCACTTTTCTGTGCTATTGTTATCAAAAATGCTGCTGCGGCCCTTATATGGATTGTCCGTGTCGGAGTAAGTACAGACCGAGTTTAACCTGCTTGAACGTTGCCCTAACATTTGATAAGCCGGCTGTGGCAATTCTACACACTCTTTATGGTATCTATCACCTCTGTCGCTCAATTACAAGACCTGCTGGGACTCAAGCCAGCTACATGTTATTTTCTGGAACCTTTGACCTCGGCTTGGTACCTTTTTACGTGTTTGCGGCATATTTAGGCTTCAATCAATACACTGACAATGCATACCATTGGAGTACTTTGCTCAGTGCCGACTTTGAGGTCTCGACCAAGATTGCACAGGCCACATTTTTGCTGAGTGTCATTAATGGTGGATTGCATCTGATTTCTTTGGGGATTTCGGTCTTTCTGGGTCTTATTTTCCGCAAAATCACCCGTCTGCCTCCAGATCTGAATCCGTTGGAAGATAACCTGACCGCCCGTCCTCACAAACGAAACAAGTCCGAGATCACCAAGAAACATACTAGCAGCTCTACTTTAGACTCCACCATGTCAGGCGAGACGCTAATCGGAGCACCTCGTACTATGTCATTCATGCACACGAGGGCCAAATTATCCGAAGGCGGTTCTAGTAACTCACCGTTAAATGCGAAGGAGAATAGGTTATCCCAGATGACCATGGCTTATGATCACGACGAACTTCCTGTACCACTGATGCCTTTCGGGCAACAAGCGGACACTACAGAGCACATGATGTACCAGCTTCCGGACCAGGACGCAGACATTCTCACAAGACCTACAACCAGAATTTCCTACGCTTCACCAGTACGAGAACGATCTCCAGATGTCCCTAGCCGATCTCAGTGTGCGAGCCCAGCTTCGGAAAACTGGATCGCGTTCCCGTCTCGATCCGCTTCACCTGTGGAAGAAGGCCAAAGAGAAAATCTCCTCCACCGCGACCCATCTTCTACGTACAGCAGAACAGCCAACTCGCCAGCCTCTGGCAATAGTGGACCCTTGGATTGGTTCAACAATCAGCGTATTGGATGGGACCTTGAAGAGACAATTCGAGAAGATGTACGTGGCGAATATGAATCTGTTCCCATACAGGAATATTATGGAAACGATGATGAGAATCATTATCGTCCGCAACGGGATAGGTTCTACGACAAGGCCGAAGAAGATATCGGGGACCATCGCATGCATATTTTCGAGGACCATGACGAGGTTAGGGAGTCTTCCGAGTCACTACGCGTCAATCCTTTAGCGCTGAACCCACCCACCCCTCAGCCTGCCATTGATGAAACATCTATTGATGCAACGCAAAATGGCCGTATGGCGCTCGTGGATATCCCTAATCTCTCCCCCAACCCAACAGCTACGCCACCTCCTGTTGACAGCCCGGAGAAGAACGGTCGTTTTTACGGTGAACTTGAAAGCAAGACTGGACTCAGTATTCCCCGGAATGTCAGCAATCACGATGAGGACACGCGTGGCTTAGGGCGGAAGAAGAGCAAACTTATGAAACGCAGAAGCCAGAAGATGAGCACCTACGGCGCTCTGAAGCAGCATGATGACGCGATCGATGTCAACGAAAACGGGCTTATGCTTCCGCCTCAGAGTCCTATGACAGTTGAGAGCGATCGTAAGGGCCGTGTCGTCAGCAACTCTGGGGCTGATTTCGGTTCTAATGTCAGCGGTGGATCAGCCCTATCATACGGTAACTACATTGCGGGGCTTGGGGTTGGAAGAAGACGAGACGTCAGTGGGAAGGTTGCGGAGGAAGGCCGAGGCGGCATGAACAAGGCTACAGACGAGAAACCAACCATCCGGGCTGCTGGATGGGCACGTTTTGCCGGACTGTAGTGCTTTATTTTACGCAATGAGGCGCAAAATAGATGGTTTTTCGGTTGTGGGATTAACATGATTTGGTAATGTGTTTGGTATGATGGAAATTTCTTTACGAGGTTTGATGGACGTTTATGCTATGATACTCCCTTGATTCATGTATGTAGTAACGTAAATATTGCACGAATTCAGAAGAATAAATATGCACTTGTCTACATCATCAGATCAATTACACTCGCTGTTCAAGGCCCCCGACTACATTCTTGTATAGTTTTAGTTCTTGCTCTTGCAAACAAACCTGACTTCCTGTATACTATTCTCGTTATATCTTCAGGAGCATTTCACTCAGGATCACGTTTAGCATGATTTATTCCAGCCCTCATAAATAGCAGATTTTGCCCGTTCACCGGAACCCCAAGGCCGAAGGGACATACCTCCAGTCATCGGAGTGGTGCGTAGCAATGGCATCGTATATCTCACGCTCCAACCTTAAGCTAGCTTGTTTATGGTCTGCGAACTGATGGCCGCAAAGCCTGCCCAGCAGCAAACTGTACCTATCATCTTCGATGAATTGTCATCAGTAGTGTGTCAGCCTGTTGGTCCCGTGCTCCTATGGTGCATCCATGTTGTATAAGGTAACTCGAGGTAGTGGTAGGTGTCCATCCCAGTAGACTGAAATAGTTAGGGAAATGTTATTAGTATAAAGATTATGAGCATACTTGAACAAACAGAGTCCGTTATCTATAGTAGTAAGCTTAGAAGCCTGAGTTACCTTTATAATTTATAGAGTAACAAACCCCTTGTCTCCAAAAACCATCCTCAACAATGAGCCGCAACAAAGAGATCGATCTGCCGGGGCCAGTTAATGACTACACAACGTTCGAGTTAGTACTCTCGGGATACGCAACGAGGTTGTACCTGGATACACTCGGTTCATCTCCCGAGATAATGCATTGTCAATCGTGAAACAAGGAAAGGTCCGTGATGTTGTGGCAGAGATACAACTGAGTTTGGGGTTCAACGTGGAGTGTATCATATTGTTATATTTGCAGAGACAGTCTCGCTAGTTTTACATAGATCACTTTTCCATTCTTGTCGGAAGCTGAGTTGCACATACTTCAATATTTCGATACTGCTCTACCTCTTAACATTGTAGCGGATATACAACCAGGAGACCTAGATAGAGATTACCGATATACTACGAACAAAGCTGTGCTTCCCCGTGTCGCCATCAGCCGAATGACATTTATCACACTTTCGGTACAGATAGTTTGGTAGCTCAAATCTCGCAACGTAGTGTTTAATTTCTCTATTGCTCAGAAACTAGTACAAGCGACTCTCAGGTCCCTCCATAACTTCACCGCAAGTGCCTCAGGCAACGTCTTTGATATTATCCTTGTAGACTAACATACTGCGCATAGCATTTGCCAACAACCTAATACATGTACCCGAACGTCCAATCTGCCCAAGGATTCAGCCTTTCTGCTGTTTGCTTTGTAACATATCAAGCTTTAAGCCATCTTATTCAGCTCTTCTTGTATCCTCGAGCGTAGTTTGCGCTTCGCATCATCATCGACTGATATCTCATCCACTGGTCTCTCACCCAGGAGACAAGAGAGGATATCGTCGTGCTGCTTGCTATTATCTTCATACACGATTGTGATGGCAACGTAGTCCACAGTATAAGTTCCATCGATAATTTCCAGGCATCGTCTAAGGAAGTTCTTCTTGAAGCGTAAACCATGAGCCTCGTATCGCGGGATTCCAACATTCCATTCCCGGCCATCACAAATGTCGGCTTGAACCTGCACATATGCCTTTCTTGTGTCGAGGTTCTCAAGTCCCGGTTTGACACCCATGATAGTATGTATAACATTTGTGATTGGTTGCCCAAGTGGTGTTCAAAGAGATTCTTAATGACAATATAATGAAGTAGGGAATAAAGGCCTGGTTTTATATGATAAACAATACCTTTTGCTTTCGAAACTAGCGGCGGAGTTTCCTATACTGTAGTCTTGTGTTAATGAAGGCTCGGGTCATTCCACCGACATCTTATGGGTGATCTATACTACTCTTCGGATAATTGAAGCGTCTGTGTAGTTGCTTCGGAGTAAAGCATGGTAGTATCAACCTTACTATCTGGCTTCTCCCGCAGCTGTATGATTTTCCTGGGATTCCTGTCTCAAGAAGGGAGGAAATAAAGAAAGAAAGAAAGAGAAAAATGGTACATTTGATTATGGAACTTACATAAACGTGTTTCAAGATTATTCTCATGAGCGGGATCTTCCTAAACAATAGGAAGTTAACAGAGCCAGAATACAATACCAGGGTAAATATAACAATGGAAATTGCCATTCACGCCAAACAGTTCTTCTACACAGATCTGATTTATAGTAGAAGATATTACCTTCAGTCAAGGTAGAAAAGAGATAGAGATATTCCATTTCCTCGTTCCATACGCATTAGACAATCTATAAACTAAAGGCGAATTGCCCCAGTACAAGACAAGTCCATTTCTTCCAAAAACGAAAGAAAGAAAAAAAATAGAGATAAATGCCGCTGACCCTTCAGCAGTACACATATTCCGAAATCGAGGAAAGCGCCATGATTCTTCATACTCCTTTAAACAACTTTTCCATTTCTCTTACCAATTTCTCCACTCCCTTCTTTCTCGCCTCTTCGCCTGGCGCCTGACCTGGGGGATATTTCTCATCCATGCACGTGGAGATGACACCATCCTGACCGTCATTGTTCTTTGTCGTGAGCTTCGCCTTCAAACTTCCATATTTCAATCCAGACATCCATTGAGCCAGAGTCCGCTGAAAAAGAGTGTCTTGTATATCACCCGGGTCGAAACATGTCTCATCCCAAACAAAACCCCGGTCTCTGACCTCAACATACCAGCAAACCTCATCGTCGGATCCTTCGCTAGCCATTGGTACAAGTGTCTTGACAGGTTTTGATAGTGAACTTTCGGTCCCTCTCCAAAGAACTAGATATCAGAGTCCAGAAGGATGAGTAGTGGTGCAGCACAGTTCCGAGGAATCAAGCCCCTTCCATAGTCAACAAAACCCATTCCACCTCCTGGCGAGTAACGTAGACGGTGGAATATTCCTGGTCATGTGAGCTGATCTTCGCCAATGCTGACCCTAACCCTCAAGAGTCAAGCGTTGTGTAACCCCATCTAGATGTTTCATGGCACTATCCAGGGGGGTAAAAGCCATCCGCTGGCTATCCATGGGAGAAAGACGAGTGGGCTTACTCCGGTACTCAAAAACCGATATACTGTGTACATATACTAGCCTTGGGTAGTACCTGTCTAGTTCATAGTGTCCAGTATTTTCCCTCCTATCAACAAGAGGGGAGTTATACTTGGAGACATATATGAATATAAGCTCTACACTATTCCTTTGTCAACGTTAAGTGTAGCGAACACCAGGTACATACTGTCAGACTATGCCTTGTTAACCCTATGTAGAAATGGGTATTCTTTGATATGACTCTGCAAGGGATTCTCAATTAAGCAAATTTGGCAGAACACTCAAATCCAAACTACACTTCCATACTTGGGCAATGATACAGAAGCATCCTAATAGTATAAGATACTAAGAAATTGAAAGGTATCTAGCACAGTTCATGCGTTTGATAGTTTTGTCTCTCGGTCTAGCCATGCAGTACTCCAAAGGATCACTCCAAAACAAAGACTCGTATCAAGGATAGCAAAAAGAAAAAAGAAAACCAGTTCAAACCAGATTACTGGCCACTGTTGCGCCAATCAAGTTCGTTTTCAAACCAATCATCCTTATTGTGCGCACTCTGATGGGATATAGAAGTATGTCTGTCGTCGCTTTGAGGCCTACCAAGAGTAGGGAGTTCTGCCCGCGGTTCCCTTCTGGTATCTCGCTCTGATATCCTCAAGGTATTCCACGGGAGTTCGCTTGTAAACCAATCATCCGCATTGCGCGTACTCCGATGCGGTATAGAAGTATATCTGGCGTCAATTCGAGACCTACGAGGAATACGACGTTCTGCCCGAGGCTCCCTTCTGGGCTCTGACTCTGATATGAGGTCCTTAAGGTGGGCCAACATGGTTTCTTTAGCCGCTTGTTGAGTTGGTCTCTGACGAACATACATTCTCTTCGAGAATATGTAGCCAGGAGCTTTGTAGTGTTCATTCCTGTGCTTTTCTGTAACTTTCACGGGGAGAATCCCTACTTTGATAGAGTCCCTGACAATAGCTGCGACTCTCTGCGTCTTGTCAAGGTCATCACCATCAAGCTGCGTGTCGTAGTCAACGAGTCTCTGCCCCCGATAGGTGGCTGTGAGGCTGACCTCAGCAAAGTATTGCTTCTCGAGTTCTCTCTCTTGGTAATCCATTCTAGGTGTGTTTTGATGGAAGTGTCTTCTGGGGTTTGTTCAGCGTATTCCTCTTAGGTGGTTAGTAGTGGAAGTGTAAGGTAGTTATAATAGCCGTTCACAAGAATAAGGAACCTCTGTTCTTTATAAAGCGTTTGAAGATGACTGTCAATACGGCAAATTCCTTGTACTATATCCAAGCATCTTATTCAGGGCATGCAAAATACAAAGCTGTCTCGAGGTTTCCCTTGAATGTTAAAACACGCCCAGAGGCTTTTAGGTATATGCCTATGCAGATAGAGTAACTTGTAACGAGGCCGGGGCTCTCTGGTATTTGCCATGATACCAGCTACTCAATTTTATAAAGAACATGCATTACACTTACAGAGATAAAGGAGGTGACAGATACTATTTACTCCGTAGTATAAAGAAATTTTCCTCATGATTCCAAAACAAAACTATAGACTAGACAAAGACGAGGCAAGATGCCTCTCTACATCCCCATTTTTCACCAAAATGCCAGCATATCTCACTATTCCAGACAAAAGGTTGGCTCTTCTCATCCCCAGTATCTACTCGGCTCCACCCTCTCCTCCGGGATATCATCATCATTATTATACCCAAGTCGAGGTGTTCCAGGGGGTACAGGGGTGGCTTCGCGATACGAGCGTCGTTGTTGGTCAGAAAGTTCTTTCTCAAGTCGCTCTCGCCTTGCCTGCATCTCGCGCCAGTATGCTTCAAGTGCGTCTAGAGCCTCTGATGGTGCCTGAAGCTCTTTTTCCAGATGTGCCAGCATCATATCTCGTCCCTTTTCAACGGTAGGTTTCGTACCTTTCGTGAACGGACCTATACGAATGCAGTAGCATATTTTTATAGTTCTATTATCCGTATCTGAGATCTTGACCTTGATTCTATCATTCTGAAGATGTTGCTTGGTAAAGGCAGCGAATCTTGTCTTTTTATTATGGTCATCACCATCCGTTATAGGATCGAAGTCGTACTCAAAGCTGCTGTTGACTCCTGAAATATCAATCTCGGCCCACCAGTATACGGCATCATGCATACTTTCGGGGTCTATTGGCACGGACATTCTGAGTGAGTCTTCTTGTGGTAGATCTGAAATGTGTTCGGGAGGCCAGTAGAAACGTATAGAAAAGAAGCAAGAACGAATATCAGAATCTAGGAACCAGGGCGCTGGCTTATTATCATAGGCCTCCGAAGTCCTGGATGGAGACTTTATACTCCAAAAGTGGACTCTTGGGACTGGGCTTCTACAGGAGAATCTTCTTCCAAGGTATCAGGGATAGTTCATGGGACCCAAAATAATCGTTCCGATTTTCTTCCTAGTTGTCTGAAACAATCTCAGACGTATTTCGAGGAATGCCCATTCAAGGAAACAGAGAAGGATGTGTGTTTCTTTGCGGGTTTTCCAACTGAGTCCTGATAATCGCTTCTGCCATCGACCTGCGACGTCCATCGGCTTTATATATCATTGATTTTGTTATTACCGGTCTTGTCTTGCATACGTAGAGGGTGACCTCCTGACAATCTATAGGGTAAGGGTTGATTCCATGAGGTTGCAGGACAGACGTTAACAATCAGAGCGGAGTAATCCTTGTGGGTGAAACCTCCAATGCAGGAAACAAGCACAACGATCAAATCCGCAAGGAAAGTACCATCTAAGATGCTCTAGTCGCCGGCAGATGACTTGCAAGTAGTTCACCATATTCCGATATCCAGGGATCTGGAGGCTATTTTGTAGTCGAATACAATTAGGGCTTGTAAGATTTCTTGTCTTCGAACTTGGATGTTTTGCTTGGTACACTGGATACATTCCAGCACACCGATGAATACTCTTAACAATGCTGATGGCAGAGTATGTACGCAGCTTGTGTGACTAATAATGTGCATAGTATAAGTCCTATCTTCATTCCTTTGTCTTTTTGCCTCTTTCCTTTGAAGCGGCAGATGCCGTGTGGTCTTCGCGATGCACAATGCCTTCGCATCGGAAGTTACTCAAGGCGCGGTTATATGTTGATCGTGAATGCTGAAAACCCCGTAAGATAACTGGTCTGGGACAAAGCAAATACTAGGCTGTCAGCAGGACACCAGGTGCTATGACAGGGTACAGGAGGATCGTCTGTGGGACTTTCAAATTCATTGTGGGTAAGGGAATCACCCTTGTAAAACCCATGAGCACGGCTTCTATTCAGTGTGAGGAATACTAAAGACAAGACTCATGGATAAATGAATGAACTAGGGTATCCATAGGCCTATGCAACTCATCCCTACTTAGAAAGGAAAGCCTTTGACGTTTACATCTATAGAAGACCAGGGAAATCGAAGTGGCGATACCATAGTCTATGTCCAACATGGGGCAAATCCCTTTTGTCTGAGTATGACGACGATGCAACAGATACCAGTAGAAGCCCTGTCACGAGATCATCCCGGGAAATCTGGTAGAGTCCGACGGTGGGTGATACAGACACGTTGTCAATGAGAGTTTTCCACATGCGACGAGTGGGTGGAATGATGCTATGAGAAGATCATATCGACAGGAAGAGACTCTTTGAGCTGATATCTGTCTCAGTTGCCAAAGGTACTGTGCTTCAACGTACCGTCCTTGTCCTTTACCAAGAGGACGTCTGATTTCAGCTTCGATCTCGACGGACCATCCTCTTTTGTTTCTGAGTCGTCCCCGGCGGAAAACTCAGCAATTCAACCTACATGACATACACGGTATGTTTAACAAGGCACTTGAAGATCTTCCTGGTAGAGAACCACATCATCATAGCCTATACTAATCAATATGGACACTATGTAGTTATGCTTCCAAAAGCGTGAGATCAACCATTTCATTTCGATTTCCAGTCTAATCAACCCCAAATGTATTTATAAACACTCATCCAAACGAGGCAGCCCCAGGCGGAATGGTATCATTGAGCTATTTACTCAAAAAATACCCCTCCGGTAATACATCTCAATGTCGTCCACACGTCTCGATGAATTCAACAACTCTTGAATTATCGAATACACCCTCTCCTTCGCTTGCTCAACCGTGGGCATCGACCCTCTCTCATATTCGCCCATTTTCACACAGAAGTAGTCGACTTTACCATTATTATTCCGTCCAGAAATGGTGACCTCTCCTTCTCCGATCATCAGTCCCCTGAAAAAGCCCTCCAGCACTGAGAACACTTCCTTGTCATCTTCCTTAGCCTCATTCAAACTCTTGTCTCCACCGACAAGACCAGGAACCCAGTATTGTGCGTATACCACTACTTTTTGCTTCTTAGGGTTGAACTCTGAAATCTGCGAGCTCATTCTGTCGAGGACCTTTCTCAGTTGTAGTTTGATAAAAGAACAAGCAAGATATCAATTAAAAACTGGGAATGACTGCCTGGTAGAATGCAAGTCCAACGGTACCAATGCCCTATTTATACCCGAGGGCTTCGCTTCATGCCTACCAGAGCCTACGCATGCAAGGGGAGACATCCCCAATTACCGAGTGCTCAAGTTTGGTTCCCATGGCTCGATTGGAAACCCAACTGGTGACATTTATGTATTCCATCTCTCTCGTGGAATCTACATTCGGGTTATTCTGCATCCCATCGTCTGGTGGTTGGTCTTCCACGGGGAAAGACTGCTTCTTTGTGGAAGTTACCTGGTTGCAGTCTAACCATGGGGAAGGGTAACTAACTACCGGAGAGTAATTACCCCTACTTCTCGAAAGGAGCCCTAGTACCAGCAGGCGCCGATGTGCTGAGCGCCATCAAGGGCTTCCAAGTCCATTGCAAGTACATGGAAATTGTTGGCATGGACGGTTGGTACAGCCTTGGGCTGGCATCTGTCTAGTGCATCTTGTATAGCTTGGAACTTCGATTATCAGGACAAGTCCTATATGTACTTTGTTTCTGCTCTTTGGTGGTGAACTTAGGTAGTTTCCAGAAGGACAATTCTTTGGTTTTGGAACTGACCATGAATCCTATATACACTGGCCTTAGACACCGTGGATTTACGCCGTGGGATACGGTACTTCTTGCAGACATACAATGATATGGTGGCAAAATAACAACATTAGAGGGTGAAAGATAACTATGCCCAACACGAAGCATCCATTTATGTCTGGTGATCTATATAACACGCAACTGAGAATCTCTGTTTTGCTGCCTTGACGCTCACATTAGAAATCACTTTGTTCAACCGCACAGGAAACCACCATTTGCTCAGAAACCTCAGCTCTTATATTCCCTTTCCGTATCATGAGCTGAATGGAGATCTTGATGTCCCTGCTCATTGGGACGCAAAGGCAGACGCTCAAGTTTCCTCTCTTCGACCTGCTTCTGCAAGCGATTTTCCTCATCTTTCAGCTCGCCGCTCTCCAACTTCTGCTGTGCGGAGTCACTGCCTTGAACACCTGCTCGGCGCTCATTTCGGATCCGTTCCTGTTCCTGTCTCTGATCCTTGGCGGCCAGTGCAACCTCCTCGCGTTCCACTTCACGGGCATCAATGCTCTCCAGTCCGATCTTGCCGAGGATATGTCCGACCAGAAATTGATACCGCAAATGTCCACTGATGATGTCACTGGCGTCCAAGTTCTCAACACCGGCTACGCCTTGGACAGGTTGTAGCCCCGCAACACCCAGTTGAAGACTGCTGGTGCGATACAATAGAGCAAGCACAGCATCGTTCTCTGAGTAAACATTGACCAGTCGTCCGCTGACTACGCTTCGCATACGGCGCCAGTGTTGCGCATTAGAAGGAGTCGCTGAGCCCATCAAGATTGCAGAGTCCACGAGACCGTATGCACCGCGTTTGGCCAAGCTCTGGAGACAGGAGAAGATCACCCGCGAACCTAAGGAGTATCCTATAAGAGTAACTGATCTCTCGCCCTGTACTTTGTTGATCAACGCGTCGGCAAGAACCTCCCCAGCCTTGTCAGCCCGAGCCTTTGCAACACTGAAAGGGTTGTCGGCTACACGGGCAACCTTCAGCAGGCCGAGAGGCAGAACAACGGCACTCAAGAGAGATGCAAAGAACGTCTTCTTCAGAACTTGCTCACCGGCAGCCCATGCAGCACTTGTTACCAGGAGATCCATTGCATTGCCAAGGTTCATTAACGGCTCTGTTTCCCAGCGGAGGCCAAAGACCTCGGAATCCGCGCCAATGACACGCCATGGAACGACAAAATTATCTTCCTCCGTGACCCAACCGGTGATGCCAATAGTAACTCGTAGTCGATGATCTTGCTTAGCGGCTTCCTTTTCATCACTAGGCCTCTGCCGAGAACCACGGACAGGCAAAAATGCGAAGTCCTCCACTTCACGGGCATATTTATCCACCATCCGCCCAGTCATTCGGCCTCCATAAGCACCGAACAAACCGCCAACGATGACACCACTGCCTGCAAGAGCACCCAGGTACCCTGCAGCTGCAGTAGCACCAAGTCCAATGCCCCCTAAGACAGTTCCAAGCCCAGCTGCAACTAGGGGCGCAGCAAGTCCACCAGTAATGCCAATGAGGCTGCTCCGGCGACTGAAGCTATACCGACCTTCCACTTTCTCGAAGAGTCGCCTTTCTTGCCATGATTCTGTGCTTCCGCATTCTTTGTTAACTCAATGGCAGTGTCAAGTAGTACACGGGCAACCTTGACTTCATCACCATTGAGGATCTTTACGTCCAAGTGTAGACTAGATGCGACGTAAAGCATCAACACTCGCGAGCGAGCATTATAATGCTCTAAGCTGAGCAGCAATAGAAGCAGTGAATGGAGAATCAAGAGTCTTTTAGCTTCTGGAAGCTGAAGGAGTGCTGTTTCCACGGGAGGATAGACCTCACGCAACTTTTCCAATGAGCCCTGTTCTTCAGACACTACTGGAGCTTGCTGTTGAGAAGCTTGCGAGCTAGTACTGGCGTGCTGTTCGTCATCATCATTATCATCGCCATCGCTTTTGTTAACAACTTCACCAATTCGGAGGATAACCGAGTCCCTCCAGTCATCAAAGCTTGTGAGCGAGGTGGCTTCGGCTTTCAGGTCTTGCACAGTAGGTTTAAAGTCGGATCGGTCCGCCGGGTCTCCTTGCTGATCATGTGATATTAAAGCCGAATCGCTTTCTTTGCGGTCAGGAGAGGGCTCAAGACTATGTGACGGTGAACCATGAAAATTCTGCTCAATTGTGGCTCTCATATGTTCCAGGATCGCAGCAACCAGCATTGTCAGGTCGGCCCGTTGGGACCGACTCAATATAGTAGTTAGGTCTTGGTTGCCGTCATTCTTTGGAGCCGCAGGGGCGGCCGACCCAAATTTGCTGGCATGTTTCTCTTTCAAATTCTTCCACATTGATGAGAGGGCAATGGGACCGGTAAAAATTCGCTATGGTTAGAATATGTTGGACAAATCAACCACGGACAGTCTTGCGACAGGTTGTTCGAGTTGACAAAGAATGTAACGTTGACGCCTTTAGGACGATGAAGTCACTGGTTTGCTGACTCAGCTGCCCAGAGATGCACTGCTTTCAGCTTCGCTGATAGATGCCACGCTCAGCAGCATATCCAAGGCTGAGCAGAGAAATCCGCGACTCCTCGTCAACTGGAGAATCCTTTAGTTACTTGGTTTCCACTACGAAGAATTTACCCTTCGTCTTGGAAGCATAACCAAGGGCATTTCCGTCCCAAGCATCTCCATCCGGGCGACCATTTCTCTCGCTCTCGACGCGTTGTATCCTCTTGTTGCGGCCGACCACTCGTTCTTTAGCTAGAGCATCCTTCAACTGATCCAGTCCAACCGTATTCTCTTTCAATGCCTCGGGGCTTTCGTCCCGGATGCTCCGCAGCGGCTCGACACCCGTCACGTCAGCACGCTGTATCTCTTTCACGAAATGGATCTGAGACTCAAGGGTCTCAAGCATCTTAGTTTCCTCCTCCTTGCTAGATGGCAATGGAAGGGCTGACAGGCGGAGTAGATGATGGAGTTGCGCCGGTGTGACTGACGGCGACGATTGTTTCGCGCTGTGGTCGGGAAGGAGAGAACGAACGGACCAGGATGGCTTCGCAAGTAGCGCATCGACATCGACCTGCTCGGGCTTAGAGCTGTAAAGGCGAACTCCAGTCAGATTGGAAAGTTGCAGAGTCCGAGGACTAATCCGTCTGGACAATTGCGAAGTCGTGGAGCGTAGACAAAGCATTGTACCTCAATTTGTCGCGTAGTCTGATACCCGAAGCTAGATTGGTAATTGATTTCCGTGAAGGTTCTCAATGAATAGAGATTGAAGGAATTAGCCGAGTTGAGGATAGGGTAAAAAGGTCTCGGAAAATAAACACTAGTGCAGTATGTATTGAAATGAAGCAGTAACTTTGAACGCAAACCCGCCCACCGCCTACGTGAGCGGGCGGCAGATCATCTCCTCGTCCAACTTTCCGATTCCCCTCAGCCTAACTATATATTTCCATCTATCAACATCACAGCCCCTCCTGATAAATTTTAGTCTCTAGGGCCGGAAACTGACTTCCAGTGCATTTGTCCTACTTTGTTGCTGGGGCCGACACAGCTTATCCAACATGGCTCAAGACCCTCGTGTTTTGCTCCAGAAAGTAAGTTCAAACATCGTTACCTACCCCGGAATGACGATCACTGATGTCCCGTGGTCACATACAGGCAGACAAAGCGCTGCAGGGCGCCGGTAGTGGTTTCAGCTTCTTCGGTGGACGGACAGAGAAATACGAAAACGCAGCAGACTTGTACACGCAAGCTGGAAATGCATTCCGAGTCCAAAAGCAAAGTATGTCCCTCCCCCGCACTGCTTAACGTTCGGTGCTATGACGTGCACAAATATTGACCCGCGCCTTCGTGGAAATTTAGACAAGGAAGCCGGTTTAGCATTCGAAAAGGCCGCCTCTATTCAAACACAGAGCCTGAACGAGCCTGATGACGCTGCCAATTCGTTGCAGGAGGCCTTCAAGGTCTACCGCAAGTCGGACCCTGAAGATGCCGCCCGTGTGCTCTCAAGCGCTATCCAACACTACGTACTAAAAGGCAACTTCCGCCGTGCTGCCACTCAACAGCAGTACTTGGCAGAGGTATATGAGGTGGAACTGGGTGATCAGAAGAAGGCTCTGGAAGCCTACGAGAAAGCTGCCGAGTGGTTCGATAGTGATAACGCTGAAGCGTATGTCGTTCTTCCCCCATTCTTCCAGAATGCCACTTACTAATTCTCTGGGTCTATTAGCCTTGCAAACAAGCACTACCTCAAAGCTGCTGATTTGGCCGCCCTGGAAGGCGACTATTACAAAGCTATTGAACACTATGAGAGAATCGGCCGTTCATCCATTTCCAACAACCTGATGAAGTGGTCCGTTAAAGATTATTTCCTGAAGGCTGGCATCTGCCATTTGGCCACTAATGTACGCGTTCCGATCGTTTCCTTGATATATCCAACATATACTAATCATGTTTAGGATCTGGTTGCTACCAACCGCGCCCTCGAGAACTACCGTGATATTGATAACACTTTTGCCTCAACACGGGAGCACCAGTTGCTTATTGACCTCGTTCAGACCATTGAACAAGGTGACCAGGAGGCCTTCGCCGACAAGCTCTTCCAGTTCGATCAGCTGAGCAAGTTGGACAAGTGGAAGACAACCCTACTACTCCGCATCAAGAGCAATATCGAGGAGCAGGCAGAGGATTTCTCTTAGATAGTTATATCCATATCTCTTTTTGCGTTTTAGTTTCACACATACCTCACCACATAAATTCAAAAGTAGCGCCCCTCACTACTTGTTTGGATGTTCGTTGTTATCGCGGTTATTACCTCAGTTTTACGGTGCACTGCGTGTCTTGGATTTGGGGCTTGCTCGTAAATATACATATTTTCAGCTTTTTCGGAAAGGGTGTTACTGAGCTACTAATTCATTCAATTACCCATGCGAGAGAACCGGATATTAGAAAAAGAAAGATCGTAACTCATTAAAGCTTGACCTGATCTACTTATTGAAATCTATATGAAATCCTAATGCTTTTTTAAACACCCCTATCTTTCAAGAGGTGAGAATCGTCAATTCATGCAACCGACTTTGTGGTATCATATCATCTTTCCCTTTGAAATCGCCCATGTCAATTCCGAAATCCCAGCGGCAAAAACACAAGAAACCCTTAAGCAGTAACCTCTTCGAGAGCGCGAGCCTTCCGAGGGAAGACCCGCTTGTACAAGCTGATACCGATCGAATCTTGAGGGTTGATCTTGGCATCGAAGGTAGCCTTGAAGTAACCGTGGGTACCCAGACTCTCCTTGATGAAACCGCTGCGGCCTCTTCTGGTCCACAGCTGGAGGGCCTTGAACCAGTTGATGTCCTCCGGGTTGAAGAACATGTAGCGTACCGTGACGACCCGCTTGTGGATCTTGTATGGGTGGCCGGTGAGGATGGCACGCTTGGCGACAACACGGGACGTATCGGGCGCCACGACTGTGCCGGTTGCGATGAGTTCCAATTGTTCGACATCTGGTTGGTCGTCTCCGTCCATGACCTCTGGGTCTTGGACGGACTTGTTCTTGAAAACAAGAATAGGAACGGCGCCCCAGGTAAGGGGCCCAATCCATGTTGCAATGGCACTGCGGCCGGGGTGGAGGAAGCGGTCGAATTTGTGCACGTTGTTCGGGGTGTTGCCGTTCGAGGAGAAGATAGGGTTGACGACCAGACGGCGGGGCCCGCACTGGACAATGAGTTCTTCCTTGGACTTCAGTGGCTCTTCGATGTTAGAGGTCAAAGTCATGTTCACGTTAACAACGGTGTTCTTGTGCTCGTGGCGGAGGAGAGAGAAGAGGCACAGCGGCTGTGGCTTGTTACGAAGAGACGTGGACACGGCACGGAGGTGTACGTCCACACGGATACCAGGGTTAACTCCACCGATAAGGGCCTCCCTGACAGTCCTGTTCTTGGAACCCTTGTAGTCAATAATCTGAAGTAGTCGGCGCCAGTCCTCTGGTTCGTGGGGTCGGTCTTCCCTTGTCTCCCAGGGACTAGTCTTGAAGTTCTTTAGACCTCTGAAGCGTGCCAAACGTTCTCTGGCAAGAACGTTAGGGTGAAGTTCGATTTCATCGGGGAATTCCAAATCCTCCTTGGCTTCCTTTCTGCGGCTGGCCCGGTATTCCTCCAGCTCTTTTTCCTCGTCTTCGGGTGATGGGTCAGCAAACATCTCTGACTGGGGGTACTCGGTAGCTCCGGCTTCCGTCATCGCGTCGTGGTTGTCTGGGAAGACACCGTCTTCTGGCGCTCCAGCTGTGTCCATAGCCATCTCCTCGTCCTCACCATCGCTCATGTCTGATCCGGAAACGGAAACATCGTCCAAGAACCATGCAGATTGGTACTCTGATGTACCCTTGGGTAGTTTCTTGGGCTTGGAAGGGATGTGAGAGTCGTCGTCTGAGAAGTAATGGTGTTCGTCAAGCAAGACACCCTTCCGTTCCTCCTCGGGAATTTCCATGTCATCATCCTCCATTTCAATCTCCTCCGGCGCCACAACAGCCAGATCATCGATGTCCTCAGTGGGAGTATCCAAAACTTGAGAGGATTCGCTCTCGTCAACATTCATAGCATCGTCACGTTTGCCTCGTGCTTGCGGCAATGGGGCAGCTGTGATTGAGTCGATCTGGAAATCACCCCAGCCGGGGATGTGGACTAAACGATCAGCCTTCAATCCCCTTCCACGTACAATGCCGGTCACGACAACATCATCCACAACTTCGGAGTTGGCCTCGGGCCAGGCGACATTTTCGATGAGCATCCAGCTACGATCATCGCGCCAGCGGATACCCTTGGGCGTAGCGGTACAGAGAGAACGGATGGCGTTGGAACATTCTTGTCTGGAATCCACAGAGAGAACCTTCTCCACTGATGGGAAGAAATGGTTGATGAATGACTTCAGGGAAGAGGCGACCTGTGGGCGTTTCTTGGGTGGGTTGATCTTATCAAGTCCCTAGACAGTCTAGTCAGCACCACGAACGCTAAGAAGCAGACCAAGCCCCATACCTGAACGACCGCAAGGACATTAGAGATACCCTGACCCTCGATGGAGCGCAGGATAAGTTCGCCTTGTTCCTGAACCTCAACCTCCGACGAAAGAGCCAGGACCACAAAATCCGCCATACGACACACATCCAAGGCATTCATCAAATCATACTTCGCGGGGATATATTGCACACTCTGTCGGAAGCGATCGATGCGCACGCGGGAGAGGGTATCGGGGGAGACATCGCAAGAAACCTCCACGCTCTCATTCAGGGACCGTATGATAGCGGCAACATCGACGTCCGCCGAGAGTGGCACAACGGCGACATGGCGGGGAGCACCATTCTGACCGGCGAAGATGCTGGTTGCTTGGGCCTTCTCCTGGTGCTTCACCTGCTGCTTCTGGCGGGCTTGATTCCTCCGGTCGAGCTTCGACATAAGTTGTTGGTGAGGGGTCTTGCGCGTGCCCCGCTCGCCTCGTTCAACTTTGCCTGCAAGACATTAGCAATAGGTTCTAGACCATAAAAAAATACAGTAAAAAATGCGGCCCGATCATACCCTTCGCCTTCTCCTTCAGCGCACCCTTAGACGCATGTTTGGTCTTGAATGGCTTGTGGGAACTTTTGGTGGTGGAACGGTGATGGTGCTGCATCGTTTGGGTGGGCGCCGAATTGGCACCGCTGGACCCTTTGAAACGGAAGGGGAGGGATTCCAGTGTGAATTTATTTACAGAGAATGTAAAATAGAAAGCGAAACTGAAATATGATAAACCGGTACACAGTAAACGGCCCAGCAGGTCCCCAGTGGGCAATGAGATCGCCTAGCGGTCAGTTTGCAGAAAAAAAATCCCGCTGTGGTGGACAAGCGAAAGGAAAAAAAAGGCTTGGCATGAATTTTCCTGCGAAAGACCCGCAAAACCTCCGGATCGTTACTCCAACACCTTTCTTCTTACCTTTCCACTTTGGATTGTTGTGCTCGTCTTTTTCACTTTTTAGCTTTCTTTAATTTGCCTTTCTTCCTCGCTTTCACACTTCTGTATTTCCCCACAGATGGCGGATACCCCGTCAACCAAGGCCGTCGCGCCGGCCAACAAAAAACGCAAAGAGAATAAAGCACTCATTGAAGCGCAAAAAAAATATGGACGAGGAAAGGCTATTCCGATGCAAACCGTGAGGGACAAGAAGCTGCGCGCCAATCTCCGATCCGTCGAGAACAAGTTCAAACAAGCTGCGCTTAAGGCAAAGGATGCGGAGATTCTCTTGGAGCACGAAGCCGGATTCCTCGAACCCGAGACAGAGCTGGAGCGGACATATAAGGTCCGACAGGATGATATCAAAGAGGGCGTTGGCATCGAGACAGCTAAGAAGGGATTTGAATTGCGACTGAACGACTTTGGACCCTACCGGGCAGACTATACGAGAAACGGACGTGACCTTCTGTTGGCTGGTCGGAAGGGACATGTTGCGACGATGGACTGGCGTGCAGGACGACTAGGATGCGAGCTCAATCTGGGAGAGACGGTTCGGGACGCTCGGTGGCTGCACAATAACCAGTTCTTCGCCGTGGCCCAAAAGAAATACGTCTACATCTACGATCAAGCTGGAACGGAAATTCATTGTCTCAGCAAACACCTTGAACCGCTCTTCCTCGAATTCCTGCCATACCACTTTCTTCTCGCTAGTGCTGTGAGTATCAGTCCCTCCGGGTCAGTAGAACTTGTCTAACGATCATGTTTACTATAGCAAATGAGCGGCCACCTCAAGTACACCGATACTTCTACCGGACAAATGGTCGCCGAACTGCCCACCCGTATGGGCGCTCCGACATCGTTAGCCCAGAACCCGTGGAACGCTATCATCCATGTCGGCCACCAAAACGGAACCGTCAGCTTATGGTCTCCTAATTCCCAGACGGCGCTGGTGAAGGCCCTCGTCCACCGGGGCCCCGTTCGTTCCATGGCGATGGACAGATCGGGCCGGTATATGGTCTCGACCGGCCAGGATATGAAGATGAACGTGTGGGATATTCGCATGTACCGCGAAGTGCATTCGTACTCGTGCTACCAACCAGGCGCCTCCGTTGCGATCAGTGACCGCGGTTTGACGGCTGTTGGCTGGGGCACTCAGGTCAGCGTATGGCGGGGTCTCTTCGACGCCGCCGCAGCCGACCAAGGCAAGGTCAAGAGTCCTTACATGGCCTGGGGTGGAGATGGCCAACGTATCGAGAACATGCGCTGGTGCCCCTTCGAGGATGTGCTCGGCGTGACCCACGACCAGGGCTTCGCCAGTATCATCGTCCCCGGCGCCGGCGAACCCAACTTCGATGCTCTAGAGGCCAACCCGTACGAGAACAAGAGACAGCGCCAGGAGGCCGAAGTCCAGGGTCTGCTCAACAAGCTGCAGCCCGACATGATCTCCCTGGACCCCACCTTCATCGGAAAGCTGGACACCATCAGCGATCAAAAGAACCGCGAAGAGCGCGATCTCGACCGCAGACCCGAAGATGCCATGGAGAAGCTCAAGAACCGCGGCCGCGGCCGCAACAGCGCCCTGCGCAAGTACCTACGGAAGAAGGGCCGCAGGAACGTTGTCGACGACAAGCGGGTCAAGGCCGAGCTGCTACGCAAAGAGCACCAAGCCCGTGCAAGGGACAAGCTCCGTTCCGAGCGGGAGGATCTGGGCCCTGCACTGGCCCGATTCGCCAAGAAGGAGATCTAGTTCGGTCCCTGCCTCCGGTGAATTCATGGATATTGCTTTTTTGCTTCTTTCCGTCAGGAGCTTTTCATATACCCGATGCTCTCGTAAGAGCTATAGCTCTTATTGGTTTTGTTCACGAACGAATTAAGTCTGCATTTGTGAGGCGTTGGTCAAGGGTTGTGGAATATGGGATTTCAACAAAAACAAAAAGTTTTCTTTCTAACTTACGCCTTTTCTGTGTAGTGAATAGACCACCAGCATTTGTACATTTACAAACATATCTTTTGCGAGAAATCATAGAGATCATAATCTACTGTTCATCCACACTCCCAGAACCCCGGGTAGCACCAGCATTCCACCTCTCCAAGCTCAGCTCATAAGCACCGCTTCCCTTCCACGCACTAATGATCAGGTTAATGATATGCTGCATCCCCTTCCCATTCTTCACCTCGGCAAACACAGTCGGACCTCCCTCCCTCATCTTCGCCGCATCCCTCTCCATAACCCCGAGGTCAGCCCCAACGATATGCGCCAAATCACACTTGTTCACCACCAACAGATCCGACCCGGTAATGCCCGGTCCACCCTTGCGGGGCACCTTATCACCACCCGCGACATCAATAACGTAGATGATGAAGTCAGCCAGCTCGCGCGAGTAGTTGGCCGCGAGGTTATCACCGCCCGACTCGATCAGGAGGAGATCGGTCTGGAACTGCTTGTGGAGAGATTGCAGCGCAAGGAGGTTCGCGCTGATGTCCTCACGCACGGCGGCATGCGGGCAGCCACCCGTTTCGATGGCGCGGATGCGCTTGGACGCGAGGGCTTTGTGGCGGTTGAGGAATTCGGCATCTTCCTGTTGCGGGGGTAGAGTCTCGGTGTTAGTCATATTTATTTTTATTTTTATTTTTATTTTTTCTGGGATGGTTGGAGGTGTTTACCGGGTGAAAATGTCGTTGGTCACTGCTGCGATGTTATACTCGTCTCGGAGAGCTTGGCATAATGCGAGCATGAGGCTGTTTTGCCGGATCCGACGGGTCTGTTTGTGGTGTTGTTAGTGTTTGAATTGGAATTCTGGTTTTGTCTTTTGCTTTTTTTGTTTGTTCAATTGAATATGTGTTTGCTGAAGACGTACCCGCCGATACCGATGGTGAAGGCGCGATCTCTCCAGTCGCGGCCCTCGATCAGTGGCATTTCACGGTTCAGAAAGGAACCGGGACCGTCGAGGATCTCGTGGGAGTGACCGTGACCACCGAAGTCATCGTGGGAGTGGCTAATGCCTTGATCATGGGAGTGAGAATGCGACATTTTGTGGGGGGAGTGTTGTGAGGAAGGGTGTTTATAGTAGATGGGGTAGTATATAGTAGGATGGTGTGGTGAATTGGGTGTGGAGGGGTAGTTATACTACTAGCTAAGGAGGGGCATCATCATTGATTTAAAGTTGTTCTCGGCCATGGACGGCATTCATTCGTTCGCCGAACAAGCGGAGACTGCCGAAGCCTCCATCAATTCTCTCCTACCTAGGTAGGGTACTACTACTACTCTTCATGATGATTTTCTTCTAAGCGAGGTTGCATTCCGATTGGACCCATGCTGACATGAACCGATATGTCATGGGATTTGATAAGGTTGGATCCGGGCGGGTTGAAATAAGAGTACTAAATGTAGGGCTCCGCAATCCAACCGTCCCCAATGTACTGTAGATCCGCCGAAGATCTTGGCCAGTAACTCCCCAGTAGTAAGTTGTAGTACGTACTTAGGTATGAACCAATAAACCATGTTTTGTGTCCAATCACCTCGTCTAAAAGTTCCAGAAATAAAGCACTAACCAAAATGAAATCAGTCAATCAATCAATCAATCAATCAATAGAGCCATAACTACATTATCTCTTCAGGTACATTCCCAAACGGCGCGGTATGCAGTGTCAACGTACAGCACAGACGAAATAGCAAGCAGCAAGAATTATTTCCAGAGAACAGAAGCCCAACGCCAGACACATCAATCGCCAATGGAAAGACATGGATATCAATAGAGCGGTCCGAATGGTAGAAAATGACCAGTAACGCTATTGGGAATCGAGCTCAACGTCTCGCAACATCACCTCCGCAAGGTACAGAGGCAGAGCAAAGTCACAGGACATGAACTCCGAGCAAACAAACCACAGGCAATAAAGCGGATCGTGTACGGCGGGAACGATTCGTAGTAGGCGATATGGACTTCAAGGAGGCCGGTACCTCGCACCGCCAACCGAGATCGCAACAGCCATACCGTATCCATCACACTACACCGACAAAGGACCGCGCATAATTGCAATGACAACGATAATCCGATATGTTCAATGGATAGAGGCCCCATAAAAAAGAGAAGATCAGCATCGCAAAGGTATCCAAAAACGGTACGCCAGTTCCCCGTCTCTTGAGAAAAATGAAAATGTCAAGAAAAAAAAAATGCGAACAAAGCCCATGGTAATAACTCCTCTAATTAGCAGTGCCTTTCTGCCTTTTACCACCCACTCGGGGACTGGCTTTAACCGTCTTTGGTCCCGGGGCAGCGGTGCCGTTGACCTCCGGAGCGCCGGTGTCATCGTTTTCCATCTTGACCGTACTTGCCCGGCGCCGTTTATGACTAACATTTGGGCTAGCACTAGCGCTCGTGCCCTGGCCGACATTAGGTTGCATTTGGCCCTGTGGCACCATACCTGGAGGGCCGGCAAGATGGCTCTGTGCCGGACTTGGATGAGCCGAACCGCCAAGATGAGGCGACCCTTGCGCACCCGGCAGACCAAGGTGTGCCATTGCTGGAGAAGCAAACTGGTTGGGTCCATTCATATTGGGGCCGCGCGGGTTCTGCCCAGGCTGCATAGCAGGATTCATCGGGGCTGGCATAAACCCGGGAGTGGGTGTTTGGGTTGGCAGGCTATTAACGAGGTTGCGCAGCGCCTCAGGGGCCGAAAGTTGAGGGTTCTGCTGAGAGAATTGGAATAACAACTGCATTTGAGATATTGTTTCGGCGACCTACGGCGCATTTGTGATTAGCTATATCATCATAGAGACCACTTCTCAAGACTTACCTCCAAGAAGCTCATTACAGCGAAAGGTACACCATTGGCGGTCACCATAGACTCGGGCAAGGTAAAGGCAGGCTGTTGAACCTGTTTCTGTTGAGCCCGCTTGCCCATATTCTTAGAGACTTTCGGACTTTGTTTTTGGTCGGCAGCCTCCAATGCTTGCAATTGGCTGCGAGGGAGATACTCAGTATAATTCTGAACATCGATATCAAGCATTTCAATCTTGTTGTTCATATCGAAGTGCGCCCTCAATCTCCCGCTGCTAAAAATCTATTTCTAAGTTAGCGACCCAGCTACGATGGTCTTTGCGTGGAGGAGCACACCTGTGTGTCATTGACAAACCAATAAATGAACGAGGTTTTTGGACTTTCGACGATATGACCCCCATTTGGCGAGTCCCTCTCCCGTGCATTTTCAACAATCATTTGAATGTGACGAATTCCGCTTGTGAATTGGGTTAGGTAGTAGCGTGCTAGTGCAGGCGTTGCGATCTCGAACTGTTTAGAGCCGGTCTGTGGATTCCATACTCCTTGTCGCAAAACGCCAGAGGGCGAATAGAATTTGTCCACGAAAGACTGCCAGTATAACAAGTCGTGCGCCTCACCGCGACTCTGTGAACAGTTAGCATTGGCTTTTCAGGGCTGTAATCTAACCATGCAAGTAGCACACACCGTGAAATTACTGAGCTGTTCCGCAAATGTATTAAGACATAGTATCGTCGCCCCTTTCATGTTCATCCGCTGCTGCATCATCATCGCATTTTGCTGTTGCTGCGCCTTCAATTGAGCCTCCTGGGCTGTCATCGGCGGTCCCTGCTGCTGCTGACCCTGTGGCTGTTGTTGCTGACCCTGTTGTTGACCCTGCTGACCCTGCTGAGGCTGGGGCTGGGGCTGCGACTGGGGCTGCTGTGGTTGCGGTGGTTGCTGTGGCTGTTGCTGCGCTTGTTGTTGTTGGGGCTGTTGCTGTTGCTGCTGGCCTTGCTGACCCTGCTGACCCGGTTGCTGGGACTGCGGTAATTGCTGTGGTGGTGGATTGGGCGTTGGCTGTGGCTGCTGAACGGCAGGCTGTTGTGGCGGCTGAGACGCAGGTGGG